AAATGTTGTGTTTGGAAAATTGCCGTGATCAGAATGCCCTTTGTATTTCAGTACTTCAATGATACGCGTTAAGTGTCACGTCAGTGTTATACTGCTTAACGTGCAGACGGCTGTTGAAGTCCTCCGAATCATATTAATGTCTTAATCTAAAAAATTGTTATAAATCAAATAATACCGACAAAGTACTTTTGATTTTAAATTCCATAAATGAAATTGACACGCAAATGTTTGATTTAGCGTAATCAACAAATTAAACAAACATTTTTATTTTACAGAAAAAATATTGGTAATCAACACATTAATTAAATTAAAATCACCAGAATAAATTTTAAACTAAACTTATTGTAATGTTAAAAGTAAGATTTTTACACTATTTGCCATAAGAATTGAAAAAAAATGATATATTTATTATCAGAATTTAAAATTATTTAATTTAATTATGGTAGTTTTTTAGACTAATATGCTATTTTAGAGGAGTTATTTATTTTTTTTTTTAATATTCTATCCACGAAGATTATTTTAAAATAATTTATATGTTATGAAATAAGATAATTAAAATATTTAACAGCCTTACATTGAATTTTTACAAGTTAGTACCTATGATATTAAGATGACATTTATTATAATAGTTAAGAGCATGATAATAATATTCATACATTTCTATATGTAAATTTACATACCTAAGTAGTTTTGTGAATTGCAATTTCATAAATACATACAAGTTTAGTGTTCATATATGGTAAGTAATTACATGACGAATAATTTTATCTGAAGAGCACATCTGTAGTGATGACACACACACAGTGAGTATAAAGGTAATGCCTATCAATAGAGAGATGAGATACGAGGAAAGGATTTTTTTCAGATAAGATACCACAACATTGACAGCTTGGTGTGGCAGTAGTTGTCAGAGGGTTCCAGTTCAATTACTGGACCCGTCAATGATGACAGTATCCAGAATCATTCTACAGATCCGCACATTATGTTATTATTCCCTATAGAATAGTGTGTCCAAAACTCGTAGTCCTACTATACAAAATATTGTGTACATTTTTAAGTTTTAATTGTTAAAGTTGTTACGTTATCTCTATCATTGAAACAAAATAAATTATGATTCATAACATTAATAATTTTAATTAGCTTTATAAAAAGTACTAAATTTTTTATATCTTAGAAATCAATCGAAATTTGCCAAATTAAATCTAATTAAAGGTTAATTTAAAATTAAAATATTTCAATTACCTGAATACATTTTTAAGGTAAGTAGACGAAGAAATACTTTTTTATCTATTTATAATATATATTATTAGAATTTTATGGCACAATTCAAAACAAATGATTTATTTCAAAGTCTTAACTTGACATATAAAATTCATTGCATGTTTCTTTTTAAACTTCGATTGATTTTAATTTAACATTCTCACATGAAGTTTGCGTCATTAGGTTTAGAATAATAATTCGAGTTCAATGATACTGAAATATTAAAAATCATAATTTACGACTTTTAATTAAAGTGCACTCCTCAAAATTTATGAATAATAAATTTTTTAGAGTTGCACTTTTGATATTTTAACATGCGTTGTAGATTATTTCATTTGACATAATTCAATTATACTTAAAAATAGTAGAGTGAAGTTAAATAGTTTTGTTAAAACATATTACGATTTCTTTAATATAAATTCTCTACTTGACTCAAATTAAACTATATTAATAATTTTTTATTTATAATCATTATTATTAATATAATATAAAAATATAAAATCTGTTAATATTCTGGAAGTTAAACCCTGTAGATTACTTACTTTCGTTTTTGATAATAAAACTGTATATCATAAAGCATAAAAGATTTTTGAATAGGTTTTTTTTTTTTTAATCTGCAAATTAATAGACTTTGTATATACTTACGTACTTAAAAAAAAATAATTGTTATAAAGTTATTAACTTTAATAGAATGTATACTGTTATGTATACAGTTATTTATACATCACAAGAATGTTTGTGAAAAATTATTTTATACAGTGAAAAAAATTCTTCTGTAAAATTAACAAATGCATTATCAAAATGCGTCCAATAAACTATTTGCTAATTTAACCATTATTTTTGTTATAATAAAAAATTGATAAAATTAACAAATATTTTGTAAGATCAACAAAAAAATGGTTCAACTAATAAAATAAATATATTGACAACGCAATTTATTGATTTTACTAAGAACTTTTTCAGTGTATTAATTAGAATACAGAAGGTCACAACCTGAATTAAAGATTTTTTTTTTAGTTACCTCCTATAAATACCTCCTGATTAAAATAATTATTAGTTTTAGTTCTTATCGAGGTAGACATATTGCCCATGCACACAGACCTGTTTGTCCATTATTCGCACCTCATACCGAATTGTCTTGATTCGGTTTACCCATCTAAGTGTTATCACCGAAATGTTATTACATTATACTTATCATTGTATAAGCGTGGGTCATCAAATTACCCTATGGATGACCAAAGAGTCCTGTCTTTCCGGCAAAATTAAGTATAGCTCTGGATCTTAGGTTTTTTATATCTTCTTTTTCAGGAAAAGGTTTACTCAAGTAGTTTGATCTTAGTGTGGACAAGGCTTCACATTCGCACATAATGTGAAATGAGCCTTCCTCTTCTACTCCACACTTCCTGCACGATGGTGATTCCGATATCCCCATTGCGTAAAGATGTTTAAGCAAGTAACCATGTCCTGTCGGTAGACCAGTCAAAGTGCCTATTTGGTATCTAGTCATGCTATTAAGATCACCCACCAGTAGACCGGGGTTCTTGCTAAACCTAAATAATTATTAACTTGAATATCTTAATTAACAGTAGAATATCTTCAATAAATTTTCGGAGAGGTTTTAAAATTAGAGTACATATTTTTGTTATATATAAAGGTCATCAAAATTATTTAAAATTAAAATCACCTAAAAGAAATTGTTTATTACGTCACTGAAATGGTAATAAGTAGATTTTTTTGGTTTAGTTTTATGTAATTAAATATGTATTGAATACCTATTTTTATTATTTAAATTTACGGGACAAACACTAGTTATAAGTTTTTTAAAAAGAACAAATTAAATACGTTTGATATACCGAAATAATCATTGCAAGTAACCACTAAAGCCATCTATTTTTGAAACGCATAACTATCAGAGACTATATGATAAATGACTATACTTCATAATATTGTCACAGACAATATTATAATCTGTGACAAAACTGAAATTTTAGTGTTATTATTAAACAATGTTGATAATGAAACTTTATATTTATATTCTTTAATGATCATTATTATATGTAAAAAATATTAACATAATAAAAATAACATGCACAATAAATTAAAACAAAGCTACACTCAATCACTCCAGTACATACTAACTTTTAATTAAAAAAATATAGTTCTAAGAAGTGAAGCTTAATTAAGTAATGGTAACGAAGTTTCGGAACATTATGAATAATTTTAATGAAAAAAAATTGGACATGCATGGCATTGTTCAAATCCTTCTCGTACTAAAAATTACCACTGGATTTTCATAAATAGCACGTTAAAAATAACTTTTTGTCCTTAGTACGTTTTTCATACTAATTTCATACAAATCCGACCTTTTAATGATAAGTTAATTTAATATTCAAATGAAGAAAAATATTATGATTTCTCCCATTTTCGACGACTACCTAACTTTGAGTTACTTTTCTACATTCCTAAAATTGATTTCTTTTTTTCAATTTTTGGAGCTGTCAAATTTAACTAAATTTAGATTAAAATTGAAGTTTTTTAATTTTTAAATGATACTTATCTTCATACTAAGATATAAGTATTTTGTCAATAGATACATAAAATAGTGAAAGTACAATAAGGAGTTGAGATAATAGTTGATATTTATTAGTGATTAAAATCGCTATCGTGAAATGCTAAGCCAGATATTTGAAATAAATTTAAAAAATTTTACAATATCTACTAACAAAATTTTTCATATGATTTCCAAGCCCCCCACCCAAATATTGCCTAATTAATTATAAAACTTTCAAAATGCAATATGCTGTCTGTAATGTATATATAAAAAGTATTGTCTATAAATATTTCACAGTAATTCATAAATTTCTAAAAGTTATTGTAATATACAGTGAAAACTAAAAATATCAATATTGATTTTTTATAACAAATGTAATTTTTAGGACATTTATTTTTATTATGGAGATGGAGTAGGATTTTCAAAAATTATGGTACTGATTTTTTTAAACTAAATATGTTTTGTAATTATTTAATGTATTGTTGAACAAAATTAATTTAGTAGGAGTGAAGAGATTGTGTCCACTGTCAAAATAAAATAAAACAATTAAAAACACAGAAAAGTAAAACTAATAACTATTTAGCTATGCATTAAAACAAAAATATGACTTTTAGGTTTATTATTTACTATTTTATTAAGATATATCATGTAGATATTTAAAAGTACATAAATGAGGACATTAATGATAATAAAATTTAATGGAATTAAGATGTGATTGTTAGTAAATTTAAGTATATACTTTAGATAATAAATTAAAAAAACTATGTAATTGACAAAATATAAAATTTTTTTAAGGTGACACCCAATTATTATTTTATAGTATTTTGTGTAAATTTAATTAAAAGATTTCATTAAAACTTAAAAAAGTTGTTGTAGGATAGCTTAATAGGTAAAAGCAATTATATACAAGGAGGTGATCATCCATCTCCTTGTCCTACCCAATCAAAACAGTGGTAATAATAAACAAAACAAAATCAGTTGTTTTAAGAAACTACCTTGAACATACAAGTTCACTTTTGTTTTCACTGCAATATAATTGTTGTTTCCAGAACAAAGATAATTCACGGAGAACTCAATGTTTCTTCATATAATATATTAAATAAGAAAATAACTGTTACAAACCCATTAAAGTTAAAAATATTTTTTTTGTATAAATAATATTTAGATATTATTTATACAAATCATTAAATTTAAATGACAATACATTATATTTAATTAATTTAAAAAAATTATACAATTAAAACTTTAAATCTTTATCCATAACTACAAATGATGGAACTAAGGTTTCATTAAATTCTGATGGGTTAAGATAATCAAGTTCAGTAATTGTATCTAATGTATCATTCAATACTTCTTTATGCAAATGTGATGACTTTAAAATTGGAAGACGACCAACGCTTTCAAAAACTTTTTTTTCCATTGCTAAACGTAAAGGCATATGCATTCCTTGGGTACGCATGAGACCCATCAATAATGTCCTATTTTCTTTTTCTTTATACTGAAAAAAAATTCATAATCAATATTAATAATTGAATAAATATTAATATATAATACATATTTACATATAAAGTACATATTAAATATAAAAAATAAAATATTACAACTCTTTTAGGCACTTTAAAGTAACAACATAATTGTCAACAATTTTATGTTGTTAAAATACTTACTTTAGATATATAATAAAAAAAAACTCTTGTGCTACAAATTTAATTAAGAGCTTATTGTTACAGACTATTTTAAAACGTCTTGATTATTAATTTAAAAGAAAGCTCCAAAAATTCATGATCATATTTAAAAACAAAAGAAATANCAAAAATTCATGATCATATTTAAAAACAAAAGAAATATTATTAGAGAAGTTTCATATATGGACTTTAACGTTACAATATAACTATGTTAAATTTCCTCACAAAGTATTGAAAGAATCTACTTAAAATATTTTTAAAAAATGCTCAGGTTACAATGTACTTTCAATATTTATAGCTATAAATAAAATAATGTAATTTGTATACAAACATTTTTTAAATTTTGTTGCACAGGATGGTAAACTTCTTGGTAATTTTTTGGTCTAATGTGAGTAGCACTAAAATATACAATAATAAATGTTTAATCAAAAAACATATTTATAGAAAACTAAAGACTTAACTTAACTTTTTGTTACTTACCCAAGAATTGCGTAGTTGCTATTGTCTTGTTCGAAAACCTATAAAGTAAAAAATTCAAATATTATAATAATCAAGAAATAATTAAGAAATTATTAACAACAATACCATTTTGTGAATAATT